TTAAAACTTTATATTAAATTGACTTTTTAATTGTTAGGCATACAAAAATGAAAAGGCAAATAAATGGAAAAAAATACTTGCTACAAATGACAAAGGATAAATATTCCTAATATATCAAAGTCATAAAGATCAGTGAGAAATTTTCTAAGACAAGTAGACAAATGGGCAAATGATTCAGCAGGCAATAAAAGCAAAATAATTAAAATATATAAACATTTTAAATACTAAAAATTCACAACTAACTACAGATGTGTAAATTAAAACCATAAAAACTCCATCCACTTCTCTCCACTTCAGTCTCACTGATACTTATTCTTGCAAGGATTTCGTTTGAGTGGTTGGAGTATTAGTCCAACTTTTTAGAAAAGAATTTACCATGTGTGTCAAGATTTAAAACATTAATTCCCTTATTTTAATAATTTATAAAAAGACATGTGTATCATAGTGTAATAACATTACATTATAGTGTAATAGTGAAATATCGAAGATGTTATGAATATCCAAACTTGCAATGTAGTATGTTCCTTACTACTTAAAAATGTATGTCCACAGGCAAAAAAAAGTGAAAGGAAATACCCCTATAATCTGGTTTGTATTTTATATGGTATCTTTTAATTAAATTCATCAAAAGTAATTTTTTCATGGGAGATAAAATACTTCTTGTGTTTCTACCAATTGCAGATGCTCCCACATTTACTATAAAAGAATTCAGTTCCAGGTATAACACATATTTATAGTTATTCTTCGGAGAAATTTTTAACATTGTATGTAGACTGCATTGAACGTAGACTGTGTTGGAACCTTTTGACTGGAGTCGTCATATTAGTATATGTGGTCTGGTGTGTTTCTGTTTCTGTCTTATTTCCCTCCCATAGTAAAAATATGATGGTATAATCGGATCTTAAAACCTCTGGCTGCAGAAGATACTGGGAAAGGAATTGGAGTATTTTCTTAAGTTTGAAATATGTTTAATGATTCTACTTCTATGGCTAGATTATATTTTTAGCTATTTATATTTGTTTATTTTAGGCACTAAAATAGTCCTTTCATAATAGGAAATTTTTATAGCCAGTAGCTACTGAAGTACCACCATGCTCAAAAGTAAAGCTTTAAAAGTAAAGCTTACTTTATTATAAAATGCTCCTAGAAGTCTTAACTGTGTTTTTTACAAAAAAAAACAAAACAAAAAAAAGCCTGTAATGTTCGACTTGTGTGCATGGAAGTAATTAAGGTACATCATTATTGTAGTTTAAAAGTTGTACATAAGACATATTTTGTTTTAACTGTATGTTTTTACTGAACTGTTCCCCATCCCAAGGCAAGCATGAATAAAATTAAGTTAAATGTAAATAAATAAATAAATAAAAGTAAAGCTTAACTTTCTTAGTAAAGAACAAAATTTAAACATTTGTAAAATGGAAAGTTTTTTGAATTTGAATTAACACTTTAATTATTTTGAATTTGAATTAATATTTGGATTAATATAATAATTAAATTATTTCACATAAAATTTATTTCTTTCCATTCAACTTGTAGAAATAAGTGGGAGTTTGAGACTTATTGTGGAAGTAGCATAGTTTCTTTAAAAGTATGTAAAATGGGTAATGACCTTTTTTAGATTAAGTGCATTTTTGAAACATCATGTAAATGGAAATATTCTACAAGTGCCAAAGTATATACTAAAATCAGTAGTTATGACTTACAAGTTATATGAAATTATCTACAAATTCAAGACTTGAATTAAACTGATACATTACTAAGATAAAAAGTTTTCACTTCCAGAAATAAGGTTTTCAATTCCAGAAATATAGTCATAAAGATAATAACAAAGTATATTTGGAATTATTTCATATAAATTTAATCAAGCTTTTATTAAAGACTAATATTATGAAGAATCAGTTGTTTATTCTGATGTAGTAATTTTACCTGCTAGTCTATACAGTATTTGTTTTTGCCTCAAATTATAATTTAAGTTCATTTTTAATATGCACCGGTTTCTTTCTCTTTTTGTTCCCTGCATTTTTCTGTCTTGCTACATTTGCTTTGATATAACACTGCCTTTAAAAAATCTTTTTTAATGTATGTGTTGTCGCAACTCTTGGCATTCCACATCAGAGCACATTTCTATTTTTATGTTAATTAATTTAAAGCTCTTTTATTTGAAATGGAAATGACTCCCTGTAAGAGATTAAACTATGAAAAAGAACTTGATTTTGGAGACTGTCAGAGCTAGCCAGCCATATGGCTCTTTGCAAGTTACTTGCTGAAAGCATCATTCATTAACTGCAAAATGAGCAAAATTATAGTTATGAGGATTAAATTATAGATTTATAATACTTATAATGTCAAATATAAGTGCTAATTGAAAAGTCAATCTGAAATTTACCAAAAAATAAGTTACTTTGATTTTCAATGTATCTTCATTTAGGGTGATAGTTTATAATACAGAATTAATGTAGTATAATACTAAAATTCTCATTAAGATTACAAGCATACTTATTTATTTTTGCAAAATAGCACAGCCATAGAGGATAAGGACTAGCTTGCCATCTTTAGGAAAAAAATAGTCATAGGCCTAGGTTTCCTGTACCTTGCTGAAGCATTTTAAGAACTCCTGGTTTTGGTATTTTCCATTACTTACTTTAATATTTGAATTAGGAAGCACATAACGTGGGTTACAAATGGCCAATCAATATAGTATTAAAATATTTTAAATTTATCAGTTTTTATTATTATCATTGAGCATCTAGATTGTCTCAGTCTTTGGGCAAGGCTTATATTTACTTTGTCACTTAAACTGAAATGTAGATATCCTCTAAGATTCAAATTTTAAAAGACAAAACAAACTGCTTTTGCAAGTAAGTTTTTGTTCATTTCTCAGTAAATAAAAATCCCTATCCCAGCAAATTCCATCCTGTTGCCACTAAGAAGAGAAGAGCTTCCAGCATCTATTTGTGTTACTAGTGGCAGAGACAGATATCTGAATATGTACTTAAGGAATAAGCATGTAAATGTGCTTTTTTAGTCTTTTCACTGTGTGTGTGTGTGTGTGTGTCTAGGCATGAGCATGCATTTGAACATAGTGTACTCTGTTCAAGTTTTATTATAATTTTATATCTGGAATATGTGTGGGTTTGTTTTTTTTTGTGGCGAATGGGTAGAAAATGCAGGCCTTCCATTTTTGTATATAGAGACCTTGATTTTTAGCACTTACAGGAATAAAAGAAAAACAGGATTTAGCTTTTTGTTACATGTCCTCAAAGTTAGATTCGAAAATCCAGTCATCAATCACTGAGTGAACATATATTGAATTGCTAATAGGTGTCTTGCATTTTAGTCGTTACTGGGAATATAAAATATGAATCATAAGGTTAATGATCTGGATCATATACTGCTTATAAGAACTATGATTATTCAGAACCTGGCAGAAACAATGAACAGCCAGGCCTCTGTGGCCTAAGTAACTTGGGAAATACGTGTTTCATGAACTCAGCTATTCAGGTAGGTCTTTCCAAAGTGAAACTCACATGTTTCATGGAAATCAGCAATAAAAGAAGAGTAGAGTTTTACATATCAGAACAAAACAAAACAAAGGATGCTTGAGTCTATTTTTTGTTCTATACTTTTTTTTTTTAGTATCAGGAGGTTTTGCTTCTTTGAGTCTGGGAACTGGTCTTTTTGTTTACGTTGGGGGTATGTTCTTGAAAATGTAAAAATATTATTAAGTTAGCATTGTATGTGTAGTTTTGGATTATGGTAGTTTTGTTTTACCTGTGTAGTTTGTTGAGGGTGTGTGTGTGTGTGTTTACTAAAGGCTTTGTTATAACTGGCAGTAGTACAATTCTCTTAAACTGTTAAAATAATAAAGTGAAAGTATAGAAGCTACAATAGAAAGTATTTGAAATTATAAGTAAAAAATATTTTTAAAAAGGAATACCAGGAATAAATTGTAGCCAATTGAGATTATCAGGGTTACTAATTAATCATGTTTATTTGTGACACTGTATTCTTTTATTTGAATCGTGATTTGCTTTTAGCATGACCTTGATTCTCATTCAGGTTTGTTCTCATGAATTAAAAAAATGATTGAAAATACGGTTTTGAATTATATCTGAACTGTCTATTGTAAATATTTTATAAGATAACCTATTAAAAATTAAGGGAGAATCCATCCTTTTCCACAAAATTATTTTTTTATTACATGTAGAAAGAAAGAGGGACAATTTAACTTATTGATTGACTAAAATTACTCTGATCTCGAAGGTTGAAAATTATATAGCTTTTTTTAAGATTAATATTTATAATGCTGATAGTCCAGATTATCCTAAGGTTATATTCATCTAGGTAAAAAACTACATTTTCTAACAAACTGGAAGAAAGAAAAGGCAAATACTGGAATGTACTTGCTTAGAATCATTTCATTTTTGCAGCCCTGATCACCCCAGACTTTTTTCTGCATTTGAATACTAGATTTTGCTGGTCTAGCATAGAAACTATAAATAGAATCTTCAATGCATCACACCAGTGATGTCACAGAGGCTTTGGAAATCTCTGCTCTCACCTGTAACTAAAGTACAACTCCTCCTGTTTCTACTGTTCTCATTCTGTTACAGTAGCAGGATGTAAAAGGGACATAAATGAGATGATTTATTGCTGCGGGTGGTGTTTAAAATCTGAATGTTTTAAGTTTGATGGAGCAGTGAAGAATGGAGCGAGCTGTGGAGCTGCTCCAGCTAATCAAGGGTAGAAAGATATAATAGTGGTTTGTATTGGTTGGTGTGGCATATGTATGCAGTGATTTTGTTGATTGGATGAGAAGTATCTTAATTAAAGGGGTTATTTTGATTTAGGTTCATGTCTTTAAAAGTACGTGTTAATTTTTTTAATAAAAAAATTTAATGACTGACCACCTATCTCAAATCGGTTTGAAGTACTCTGCTCATATAACTATATTGTAATAATCAGCTGCATTATGAAATATATTCTTTGTTTTCTTCCAGTGTGAAAAACTCAAATTATTGTCTCCCATCATATACTGCTTATAAGAACTATGATTATTCAGAACCTGGCAGAAACAATGAACAGCCAGGCCTCTGTGGCCTAAGTAACTTGGGAAATACATGTTTCATGAACTCAGCTATTCAGGTAGGTCTTTCCAAAGTGAAACTCATATGTTTCATGGAAATCAGCAATAGAAGAAGAATAGAGTTTTACATATCAGAACATGAGTATTATATATGTTTTGAGAGTTTCTGTTTTCATGGAAGATTTAAACATGCATGTTTGAGTCATTCATTCTAGTGCTAGTAGAATATCATTATCAAGTTCCTCAATTAGGTGGCATATGATTGATTACCACATGGTAGAAGATTATCACTTTATGCAAAAAATATAATTTCAAACAGAAAACCTAGGCTCTCTGAAAAGAAAAAGAAACCGAGTGAGATCATTCCTTTATATTTTCAGTAGAACTGTCATGGTTTTTTGGACATTGGTGGGAATGTTAGAGAATAAATCTTTCATGGTCACGAGTTCTCTAACTCCAAATAAATTTATTTTTAAATCTTTTTTTTTTAACCTTAATGTGAAATTAAGATTTTTTTTAATGAGAAAATTTTATGAACTTCCTTTTGCATACATATTTTAACAAATCACTTTCCCTTAAAGATCTTTTTAATTTGGGGATATAATTGATCACTGCCCCTTTGTTCCCTTTGTCTCTCCATGGAGCTTCCCTTTTCCTCCTGCTCTGTCTATACCCTCTTGAAGCTTGTTGAATATTTATGTCTTTGATCGACTTTGAAGTAATGAGATCTATATGTTTTTTTAATGTCACTGTCACTAATTATAAAATTAGAGATGTTTATTTCATTTCCCTTTTACAAATAAAATTCTGCATTTCAAAAAGCCCCAAATAATGGTATGCTATTTTTGATACTTCAGTTTTAACCTTTTGGGGGGGTTGTGTTTTTTTGCAAATTCTGAAATTTTATTTTTAAATCTGTAATTTTCTTTTCTCAATTCATATTTTAATACTGAATCTCTGATGCCTAGGAGGCATCCTCCAGAGATAATAGATTAAATACAGAGTATAGATTAATTAAGAACATTATTATAACTTTTTCACTATCTGAGAATAGTATAGGACTCTTTAACCATCCAAAATCCAAAATTCTAAATAATGCCTTTTGTACATTGGCATTAATACATTTGTCTCCTAAATTAACCGTTGTCTTTACAGTATTCTTGGAAAATTAGAATTTAATTGTCAAAATTGTCTAGACCAGGAATTGGCAATCTTTTAGAAATGCGTAGGGGATATAATTACTTAATTTCTGATTTCTTGGTTTAAAGTTGATCCACTCAGAAAATAGCCTTTCTGCTCAAGCAGATACTGTGTAGGGTTAATAAACTCTTCCTTTAAACCTTTGATGATTAATATTATTTATGCTTTAATGTGAATTACTTAATTCAAAATTATTTTTCTAGGATCCTAGTGCTAGTTAAATAAACAATTTTTAAAATTTTTTATCTTTATTTTTCTGGGAGAGGAGAAAAGGAACTCATCTGAGAAGAGCAAGCCAAAACATACTATGATTCTGGCAGCTATTTAGATATCAGGGTAAAGTGTGTGGGTGCTGAGCTTTCAGAGATAGGTACAGGCCAGACAGATTGTAATTTTATTTGGATATCTATGGGACTATTCTACCTGACCACTGAAAATCATCTGTAGTACCATCTCTGGAAAGTGTTTTATATAAATGGTGGTTACATCAGTACCAGAAAACTCTTCTTAAATCACCAAGTCATATTAATTTTTAGGTAACTCCTGTCCTGGCACTGCCAAAATTATTTTGGTTCTAGACGCTTGATAAAGCTTGAGAGGTTTTGTTTTGTTCTGTTTTGTTTTTAATCGAAAACCAACCTTGGTGCTTTCTTATAAGGATTAAGAAAATACTTTAACAGCCTAGGCATTAAAAATTTGAGCCGGTCAGAAGAGAACAAGAGTTAATGTTCATGCTAATCATTCAGAAGCGGCTCTGGCTTTCATTCAAACTGAATTCCTTCTAAGGGATTATTACGTTCTAGTTTCCTGTGCCTTTAATGCAGTCTTATTTAGTGTTTTGTCTCCAGATGGTTAACTATAATTTCTTAAAAATGAGTATTAAAATTAAATCTTCTGATCACTTCTGTTGAGCTGGATTTGGCATTTGTTGAACTTTCTTGTATATGTTTAAGGTATCAGAAACTTCATTCTTTTAGTTATTGCCTCACTTCAAAACAGTTTTATTACAATAAATTTGTAAATCTAATGCTGACCCTCTCTTAATATATATCGCCTTCACATGTTCCATTTCAACTGAAATTAGAGCCATAAGAGTGAGGTTTGTTAGCCAGGAGGGTGATAGTTTGTTACTTTCTGGTAATAATTATAAAGTAAGAAAAATTTTAGTTGAAAACTTCAGGGGTTTTTTAAGCAGTGGATATTATTTCATGTCTGTGTCTTGGCTGGAAAGTACTTTCGCTAAAATCTCCAATCACTTTGGGCAAGAGAAAAAAAACTGAGTTTTTATTTTTGCTACTTTTGACTTTTAATTCAAATCCACGATTAAAAAAGCTAGTACGTCAGTTTTATTTTCTTAAAGCTTCTATGATTTTTGATTGATTTAGATGTTCACTCTGAAGCTGAAAACTCACCATTAAAGGGAATACAAAATGATTTCGGTAGCCTTTATCCCTGTTTCATGAACATGCATGTAAGTTGTTAGGTCCACAGATGAAAGGGGTTAAAGATAACTAACAGTAGATTTTTTCAAAATAATTTTTTTAGATAGTCTCCTCAATTATCCTTTTTTTTTAAGTTTCCTTGTAACTTCTGTGAAACTGAAGACAATTCATGAACTTCAGAAAATATTTCTACTGACAATTTGAATTTCAGTGTAATTTCTTGTATTCAATAATCCTAAAAAAATACATAGACATTTAGTACCTCGGGCAGTATGATTATTGATATATCTAAAAAAATATGTGTGGGAAGCATACCTACTTTTTGTATGTGAGAATGGATTATGCTTATTAACCCATCAGTAGCCTTGAGGTAATGAAACCTTTTGATTGCTTATGGTTAAAAACTAAGTGGCACCAATCTGAATGTGATTTTAATATTATTAGTTACATTAGTTTAATATTATTAGTTCCATGGCACTGTCATCAAAAATGTGAATATTTGTATTCAAGGTTTTCTCTGATGTAATGGTATGAATGAATATTAAATATTTTTGATGAGAATAGTACTGCCATATAGTTTTAATTTATTAAGTTAATATTTATTGAATATGAAACATATGAGAAACTTTTGGAAATAGATCCTGACCTCATGAGGATTATAGTCTTGATAATTGTGATTTTCACACTTTTTGCCTTTTAGTATGAGAATCTTTTTTTTTAAATTATTACCATGAAAAGTTTAATTTTATCCTCAATATTTAAACAGATGTAGTGAAGTCGCTTTGGTTAGGTAAAGGGTATAGAGTCCCATCTGCCTTCTCTTACTTTTCCTTAATGGCCCCAGAAGCATTCTCATGGGATCCAAGGACTCTAAGGAACAGTCTAAAAACTATGATATAGGAAGAAAAAAAAGAACACATTAAAAATTAATAATACAGATTAGGAGCACTGGTTATGGAGTTACACTGCTTGGATTGAAAACATGTCTCTCTTATTTGTTATCTGTGTTACCCTATATAAGTTATTTCCACAATTCATTTTTCTCACCGGATGAGGAAAATATTAGGACCCATATTTCATGGGGATTAAATGAGTTGAAGAATATAAAGTAACTAAAACATCATAAATGAATAGGCAGTAGGTTGGTATTTTGTTTTGTTTCAATTCAACGAGCTAAGCAGAGTGACTGGAAAAAGTCTACTTTTGATAACCCCTCTATTTGTTCTCCTTTCCTACAAGTCTCATTTCACCTAGTGAATGAAGAAAGAATTAATTGTATTTTTAATTCTTTTTCACTTAGTATTATTGCAGTAATGGTATTTATCATCTCTATTTTTGAACAGTGTTAGTTTACTCTCCCTAGGCAAACTAGTAGGCAAGTGTTTGTGCATATTCAGTCTTCAGAGAATTCAAAATTCATGATTTCAGGTTACCCCTGGCCTCGGCCTCCTGAGTAGTTACACCACCATGTCCCAGTGGTACAAATAAGTTAACAAAATAGTTTTCTAATGCCCTAAATCTTTGAGAGAATGTCTAGTTTTAAAATTTCGCATTATTGGAGGTAATTTTAATTAGCATCAGTTGAGTAGATTGAGGAGCACTCCAACCCTTGTCTTTTTCATTGTCAAGGCCTAGGAGGCTCATGATTGGCTTCCTGGAAGAAGCAACTCTGCAGATGGATTTGAAGCAGGGGAGTGATATGGTCTTTTCCACTGGAAAGCAGCGTGGCGTAAGATGGTTGTTTTCAAACTCTTTATTTGGAAGTAATAGGGCTTCTTACTCTAGGAAGTCTTGAAAAAAATGATAGTAATCAAGAATCTGTTCATTATTCCTGTCATACAGTGTACAATCAGTTGGGATTCCAAGCATTTTTAAAGTCAACTTTTTTTTAATGATCTGTTGGGTTAGGAAAAAATCTATTCAATCTATTCAGTAAATTCAAAAAAATGCTAAAGCTTAAAGCTTTTTTAAAAAACTTAGAATGAGTAATACTACACAGAAAACATTTTTTTAAGAAACTAAATTCTTATTGTAAAACAGTGGAAAAGTCATTACTGAAGCTATTATTTCTATGTTGTAGTACTTTATAGCTTTGCATATGATTAAATATAATGCTTGTTCTGCTGTCACCCTGAGACATTCTTTTTGCATTTATTGGAACACCAATTCTTAGAAGTCCAGATTAACATAAAGCTTTCTAATTTTATTCAAATTAACCAAATTTATAGTTAATAAATGAAAATAGTTTTCATCAAAAAAAGAATCATTTGACCCGAGACATAAGAATTTTAAAAAATAGTTTAGGATCTTGAAGAAAATTACTTCTGATAAACTGAGAATATAGCTAAAAATTCAAATACTTCTTCCTAGGGCAGACTTTTTAAAAATTATAAATGACATACAATATGATATTAGTT